AAATCTAAAAGGAAAGTCGACAAACAAGGACTTGCACCTGATAAGGCGAATTGAAGATAATACAGGTGCCCAATGGAAACCCCCCACGTCAAATTCGTGGAAGTTAAATACGAATGCAGCATGGCGAGCTGATACAAACACCGGCGGGATTGGCTGGATTTTAAGAGACGAAAAGGGAGAAGTCATCAAAGCAAGCTGTAGAATTATAAGAGCGGAAAGAAATATTACTTACCTAGAGGTGATGGCTATTTGCGAGGGATTGCGTGCGATTCGACAAGAACACTGTCGACCAATTCACTTGGAATCTGATTCCCTCGAAGCCATTCATCTACTTCACAGACAGTGTCAAGATCAAACTGAAATTATTTGGCTTTTAGAAGAAATTTGGCAGATGATGAAAGATATGGAAATAGTTTCAATGAGACATATCAGTCGAGAGGCAAATAAGGTGGCCCATGGCTTAGCTAGACGAGCCATGGAAAACGATTTGAGGGAAGAGTAGAGTTGTCAAACTCCCTCGTGGCTGGACAATTTAGTTTTTTCGGAATTTGTTTTATGTTAAGTTGTTTTCTTCTAAAAAAAGAATACTAAGCTCTTCTCTCTCTTGTATCTTGTGCAGCTAGTTTTAGAAATGCATTAAATTGGCGTGAAAGAAGTTCTCTAACAGTGGAGTTGAACTGCCCAAAAATAGCGCTAGAGTTTTAGAGAGATGGAGATTCATGTAAAGCTCAAAGGCAAATCACATACTGTAAGGCTGAAGATTCACCTCTCCATGAGAAATTATAAAGTTTCAAGCCTCGGACGAAGTAGAGGAAAGGGTCGAATCATGGCAATGAGCTTCATGGCTTTCATCATTTCAGAACTACCAAGGTTAAACTTCATCACATGATTTGCATTTTGTGGGTCAAAATCCATCCATAGACTTTGAGCATGGCTTACAACTTTATCTTGGGCTAGTTTAGAGGTAGAAGAATAAGGGACCCAACCCAAACAGTGGGGTAGTTGAAATCAGACAGTGATAAGGGAAAAGAATTCCTAATTGCATCATAATAGCAATATCTCCTACTAATGAAGACAACAACTTTTGACAAGTATTCTCCATTTGTAGTTTCATTTCATTTTTTTCCCTTCTATTTCTTTTTCTGGTTGGTACAGTAAATTTTATAGCTGTACGAGCCTGAGATTGTTGCGTCTGTTTTTTCTAATTTGAATATGGGCCCATGCTTTTGGGGTGTTGACATTGAGCCTTGATAGATAATTAAAGGAACTAATACCATGATGTAAGTTGTCATCCTACTTTGGATTTTATTAAGCCTTGTTAGGATCAGTTCTAGCAGCAATATATTAACTTTTTAAATCATTGAAATATTCTAGGTCAATAGTCTTGTATGTTTAAATCTTGATGGTTTTGAAGTTTATATCTTGGTTGGTGCTATCTTGTTCTTTTTAGTTTAGCACGAAGTATGTGATATCTATGATAGCTTTTATTGTTCTTTGTCTTGCTTTGTAACGACGTTGAGGAAGTTTGTTGTAGTGTTGTCAAATGGGAGAAACTAATTAGAAGATAATATTGAGATATTATTTTGTGAATAGTTCGGAAGGAGATATGGTTGGTTAGTTTTGAGTTGCAATATTGTGATATTATTTTGTGTGAATAGATTGGAACAAGATGATATCGTTGGTTAGTTTTGAGTTGCAATATTGAAATATTATTTTGTGTGAATAGGTTGGAAGCATGTTATGTGGTTGGATAATTTTGAGTTATTCTAAAGTAGAGACTAGAGAGATCATGTTGAAATTTGTACTTGTTTGCCTTTGATTAATTGTGTAGTTTTTTAGTTAAAGTTTATAATAGATTATGATGTTGAAATTCGTTTTAGTTGCATATATTAGTTTTTTTTTTAAATATTGAGATATTATTTTGTTAATAGGTTTCAAGGAATATATATGGTTGGTTAGTCACGCGATTGGCAGCCAACAATTTTTTTAATTCAATTATGCATGAAATAATGACGGTCAATGTTCGTCATTAAATATAGTCATTTCATGACAGTACAAACGATGACGAACATACAATGACGCACAAACAATGACGTACATACAATGACGTGTCACAAATGTAATGATAAATGGAAAAAAACAAGGACACTCATAAAGATGTCGGTCATTATCCATCATGGTTACCTTTTCATGATGGGCATGTCCGTCATGAAAACAAAACTTTTCATAGCGAACAGTGCCCGTCATTAAATCATCCGTCATTAAAAGGAAACAATGATGGTCAAGTGACCATCATCTATTCGAGTGTTCTTGTTTCTTTTCAATGACGGAAATTTCCTTTTGACGTCACTCATTAAAAGATAAGGGAGAGAAATCTAAAATTTCTAGTGAGAGATTTGTTATAATATGACGTCATCCAGTTATTAGAAAACATAAGTTTTGAAAAAGCTGGGTAAAAAAGAATATTTCCTTATGAAAACGGCTATTCAGTCGAAAAACCGCAAAAAGTAGTTTCGTTTTTTTGGTTTCCATTTTTTTTTATGTTATGGCTGGTGTTTTATTTGGTTATATCATAAGTAAATCAATTGTATCAGTGGTATATCTGATAATATATATCATGGTATATCTGATACTGAATATTAGGGGTATATCGGAAGTATATCAAAGTTACATCGGATGTACATTGATATACATTTGATGTATATCATATACAAATTTACATAAGATGTATATCAGATATAGATTTGATGTATGATATACATCAAAAAAATGTCATCAAATATAAATTGGATGTATATCAGATATAGATTAGATATCATAAGGGTAAAATTGGAATAATAAAAATTTCAAAAATAAAAATTCAAATATTTTGCTATATTTGAAATTTTGAAAAGCTGATGACATTTTTTGAAATATATAAAATATTTTTGCTACCCACTACAATTATCCTTTATTGTTTTTTTTTTCAGATTATTATAAACCAGAAAGTGTCTGTTTTTGTTGGTGGAACCGAAAAACATATTTTGAAACTTTTTTTTAGATAGAAAATTTCTTATATAAAAACAAATTTTTCTTATCCTATGTTATCTTATCTTCTCTTTGGAAGTTAGAGAAATAATTTTTTTAATGGATCAAATGTCAATTTCTTTATCGAGAGAGGGAAATAACAATTTTTTTCTATCCAAGGTCTACAAAGCAAGAAAATGAGTGACGCCAAGTTATCACCTAACTATTTTATGTGGTTGTCAATACACTAACTATTTTTCTTTGTAAACTATTTTGAAACTACTCAAAGTATGACTCTTAGATTTTCTCTAGAGAGGGGTAAGGAATTAAACTAAAAAATGTTGGGAAAAAATACGAAACGGGAGAACGATCGAAGGGGAGGTAATGTAAGGATAGCTTCGAGCTCTACCGAGGGAGATACTCGCTAATGAGGACCCTCTTGCTACGTTCGGGCTCTCAAGAGGCTCGAAGGACCTTTGGGACAAGCTCAATAGAGATCGATCCTGACGTGAAGTGACCAGCTCCAACGTGGAATCTCTAACCAGCACCAAGACATTTAGTCGACCGAACGGATCACATGCAGGGATCGGCTAGGAAGAGCTAGACCAAGTAAAGGAAGAAATCTACAACCGGATAAAAATCGAACTCGGGGTTGGTGGTTGACGCCCACCACTCAGTACGAACACTCGAAGATTACCTAGGAACCATTCATGGCCAACATCCTAACCGTAGAGCTTCTGAAGGGATTCAAAGGCACGCACATCGACAAGTATGATGGGTCTGAGGGTCCCATAGATCACGCCACCTCATACCATGACGCCATGAGGCAGGCTGGGTAAAATGATGCCAAGCAATGTCAGGGCTTCTCTGAAACCCTCATAGGCCCTGCCCAGTAATAGTTCGAGAACCTCTCCAGTACTCGGTCACGAACTACCAAGATTTAGTCCGCAAATTCATTGACCACTTCCTTTACTCATGTGTCAATCGGCGAACAGAGACTCAGCTTATGTCTATCAAGCAAAAACCCGATGAAGACCTTAAGGCATACGTGGCTCCTTTCACCATTGATCGACTGCGTGTGCTTAACTACTAGGAAAACATAGCCCTCTACGCACTCTCTAACGGCATCAAAGAATGAGGCTTGTCCGTTCTTTCAGAGAATTCCCAACCAAGTCCATGCCCGACTTTATGGCCCAGATTCAATGGCACGTCGCCAGAGAAGAGTTACTCGAGGCCCAATCCCTGAGTAAGAAGCCTAACGAGTCATCTCGGAAGGAAAAAGGCAAGTCGTTAGATTGGACCACCTTTGCTAAGAGGGAGTTCGATGAGTCTCCTCTTGTCTCCAAGGTGTTCTGACCACCGAGGTATGGGAAGTATATCCCAATGCACATACCGATGCATCAGATACTAGCATGGATTGACGGAACACCTGTTGATAGCTTGCTTCATTGGCTGGAACGATCCCAAAGTGACTCTGCTAAGAAGGACAAAAGCAAGTACTGTAAGTTTTACAGCGACCACGGACATGACATAGCCGACTGCCACAACCTCGAGGATCAGGTCGAGTCCTTGGTCCAGATGGGATACTTGAAGGAATTCATCGTTTAAGGCTCCACGTTAAAACGTCGGGCTAGAAAGTACAACGTCAATCAGAACCAACAAAAGCCAAAATCTCCCAAGAAGGACGAACAACCTCAAGCCATTTAAACCATCTATGGATGGCCTACGAGATGCTATTCCGAGAATAAATAGAAGATGGGGAGGCCAGCGTCCAACTATAATAGCACAATGACACACTCGTAATCGTCACGGACATAGAGCACGTTCCTCACGCTAGAAGTGCTACGAACCTTCGGATGGGATGCCTCCAAGCTAAAAAGATGTCCCTCGCCCCTGGTCAGCTTTGAAGGCGAAAAAGTCTACCCGGAAGGTAGTATTGAATTACTGCTAACCCTAGGGGAGGGCAGGGAAGCTATCACTATGGTCGAGGAGTTTGTGGTAATAGATGACCCATCTGCATATAACGACATCTTAGGCACACTAGCCATACATAACTTTAAAGTCGTCCCGTCCATCTACTACCAAGTAATGAAGCTTCCTACTCCAGTGGGATGGGGTCTGTGGTCGGAAGCAACGTGCCTCGCGAATGTCCTACATGACGGCCATGAAGGAGCCTAAAGCTGTGTTCGATCATGGCGAGTAGCAGTCGACTCCTTTAATGGAAGACATCGACACTGTCCGACTCGTCTCGCTGCGAGCAGACACGCAACAGGTCAAGATGGAGAAGCCATCCCCCATAGAGAGACCAAGCACGAGTCTGACAAAGAACGCTCCGGAGGCATGCGTCGAGCGTGAAAAGAGCATCCCATCAATGAAGAGCTGGATTCGGTTCCCATAATGTTATGGATGACAAAAATCCCTATTTTTTACCTTAGGAATTCAAAGAAGAATATATCTTGATAGCCTTGAGATTTCTTCTAGATTTAGGAGAAGATATCCTATATCCAATAGGATAAGGTATCCTGATGGTATTGAGATTTGCCCTAGATATAGGAGAAGATATCCTATATTCAAAAGGATTAGATGTCTTGATGGTCTTAGGATTTTCCTTCTATAAATATAATAGTAAAATGAACCCTAAAGGCAATGCAAACAAATTTCTCAACTCTCTCGCTGTCTCAATCCCTTGCAATTGGATCTCACAATCCGGATTCTCGACCGATAGACTTAGCAAGGAAGATCAAGTGGTGTTGTTTCATTGAATTTACACGAAGAAAAGTCTTCAAAGGTAAAATCCAACATTCTTCCCAGTTTTATATTTCTCCGTGTTTTAAATTTCAAAAGAAATTCAAGAACGCGTTCTTCTACTTTCGCTCAGGGATTCACATCCGTTAAGAGCTGACAGGCTCACTGAGTGGTAAATATTTACAGTAAAATAATTTTAAGGAAACCATTAACATGCTGAGCAGTAGGCACATAATTTATGAGACTGTTATGGATAGGTTAGGAAATAAATAACTTGAAATACTTAATGGTCAAAAACCTTCCAAACATTATCTTTAAAACATAGTCATTGGCTTGAAGAACTCATCATTTAACTCTGCACCCAAAACTTGCCAAAGGGACACGGAGCAATATCAATAAGCACATCTAAGCATTCTGGTCATACTATATATGGGGAATCTCAACGCGTATAGCGAAGCAAACTCGTTGTTCTATGTGAATGCTAAACTTTCACAAATAGCAGAGCAATTGATCGTAATATGCATAAGGTAATCTTAAGAAGCATAGTGGAGCAAAACTGGTCACACTATACACCAAGTAATCTCAAGATGTATAGCAGAGCAAATTTGG